TTATAGGGATTTATTTTGTAATGGACTTCACTTTTTGTGCACTGTAAAGATTGACATTTTATAAAGGTTTATCTGCCAGGTACATAAAAATAGACTTGTTTTTTTTTTTCTTTAGATTACAGTGTCATCACACTCTGATTAGAAGGTAATCAGTTAATAATCCCCACTTTTTGTTTGTTCCAGGATTCAAGAAAGATCCACAGAACACCGCTGCATAGTAATGCAGCTATTACAATGATCTATTTGGGGAAAAATGTGCACCTATCTTACGTGCATCCAGACTTCCGGGATGAAATAAAAGTTTATCAACAGCACTGTGGTGGGGAAAACCTTTGTGTCTATAAAGGCAAACTACTTGAAAAAGGTACACATAAAATGTGAATTCCTTTTAATTGCTTGAAGTTGATGTTATCAATAAGCTATTGTTGATATAATATCAAAATGACTTCAATCACTCTATAAAATTATGCATATCTAGGGACTTATAAACCAGCTGCCTCAAAGTAAATCTAGATTTACTGCTCCATGATTGAAACTGAAGCAGCAATTACTCTTGCAGATTGTGGAAGAAAGAATCTGGAGTGATTTAACCCAGTAACAGATTAATTTTGGGATAGAGGCATATGATCATTAAAATGTTGCACAAATAAACTGTCCCCCAAATTACAAGTTTATTATTTGGCTTGCCATTGTGAATTATATCATTCATTATTCTAAGAGAAAAATACCAGATTGGCAATTTGTTCTTTAGAAGTATGTTGAGATAAAATCACAAATTCAATAAACTTCAGGGTGAATCACACCTAAATAACGTGGTGCAGAAATTGGCTAAATGTGTTTGGTACATTTCCACTTTCATTTGATCATAAATCCATGTTTGTTAGTGTTGAGGAAGAAGAAATTTTCCTCTAGATGCCTCAGTTCTAGCTGGTCTAAGAATTAAATTGACATGAGACAGATTAATAGAAAATAACCAACTTTAATTACGCACATACCTGCAGGGATTCCATAAGAATATGGGTCACAGAGACAAATTGGGCTTTTGAGGCTTATGTGCCTTTCTGAACTAAGCAGAAGTAGGAGACTGGAACTTCAAAGGGTAGGGAGGCAATTCTCATGGAGATGGAAAAGCAAATGTTTAGTAAACAAATAGAAGTTTGCCAGGATGATGCAGAAAGAATGGGACACAGAGTGAACTTGGATCTTTAGGCCCTGATCTTTAGGAGACTTTCCCACTACATTTAGTTCATATTATACTGAAGTGATCTATGGAGATATCTCCCTTCCTGGAGCAAGCCCTCTATCTAAATTCTGTTAGGCAGTAAGAGGGAAAGTCAAGGTTCTTTTTCCCTGAGTATTTTGTTTCTTAAAAATAAACAGCTTAAAATAATCAATATCCCAAAGAGACGTATTTTGGGGTGGCAAACTCTGCTCCTTTCATTAGCATAAAATCATTTTGATACTCCATATATGGTTTCACATATTGTACTGAAGTGGTTTTTGTCAATATTTAGTTCTCTGGAACAGCAATTAAAAGGAAAAGTTGTTACAGAATTATTTTGTGATTTCCTTGCTTGAGAAACTGTTTAGAAAGTAATAGTGACTTTACTAATGAANGGCATCTCACCAAAAGCAAATTCCAGCTGGATAATTTCTAGCTCTTAACAGAGTTACTGAATTCATTCTGTTGAGGGAGATGAGGAAGCGAAGGCTCATATGTCAACTCAGCATCCTTAAAAATCTAGAGCTCTGATACCTTCAGAGCACTGAGGTGTTTGGGGCATGGCAGGAATAAGCATGTGATATGAGTTACACAGTAGTAAGAAAAATGGGCAAGAGGAAAGTGAAAAGAGGAAGCATAATAAAAGCAAAGGAGGGAGGAGGAGAGAATGAGGAAAAACCAGTGAGAAAGAAGAGAAAGAGAAGAACCAAATGAGTGTAGTAAGGATGCTGTTGGTTTCCATTACAACTAGCTGCTTCCTGAACCTTCAGGATACCAAACCTGGAACTCTTTCTCTGGCTCTTATCAGAATTTTTTCTTCTTAAGGTCATCAGTGTCAACATGGGGACCATCTGCCACTCTTTATGGTCAGGCTTTTTACTAATCTTTATCAAGGCTTAATCACCAAAGGTGGTGTTTTGATTGACGGGACACTGTGAGTCAATTTCCATGTTCTGTTTCAGACTGAGTTCTTATAAATGTAGAAAGCTTGTGATATAGGGTGATTTCCATCTTCTATAGCTCTTATCTCAGTAAAGGACAGAATCTGGAATCATGAATTGTTGCATGTCTCTGTCCAGTCAGATCAATGCTTATTAGGCCCTCACTAGGTGTCAGCACTGGCAAGACACTGGGGGCATAAAGATTGGTAAGGCACTGTCCTTACCTATTGAGAGAGAAGAATATGAGAAAATGGTTTCAATGCCACGTGACTCATCCAGTTATGTAAGCCTGAAGATTAAAACAGGTTGGTAGTGCTTGTACCACTACAATTAGCTCCGTTGCTGGACTTCCAATGTAATACAAGAAACCACAATAGTTGAGAGACAGGAGTTAGAGATGTAAGACATTTTATGTTGTCTAAAGAATGTTGGACCTCATCCTATGGATACTGGGAAGCATTGGAGGACTTTAAGCAGGAATGTTGGACCTCATCCTATGGATACTGGGAAGCATTGGAGGACTTTAAGCAGGAAAGTCACATGATCTATTTAATGACAGAAGATCATCCTGCTATCCAGGAGGAGGGAGATTTTGAGGGACATCAGGCTAGAAGTGGGGAAATCAATTTAGTAGGGTAACCATATATCTCAGCTTTCCTGGAACAGTTCAAATTTATGCTTTTTTTTCTCCCTAGCATACTTATTAGTAACACATTTTCCACTGTGTGTCTAGTTGGGATAATAAACTCTGTGGTTACCCTATTAACTATAAGTTTATTGCAGTGGTCAAGGTAAGATTTTATGATGTCCAGGGTTCATCAGGGCTATGCGAAGTGAATGGAGAGAAATTGCTGTCCAATGCAATCAACAAGTACGGGCAGTTTGACACCTGTGTAAGTCTCTTAAATCTACCCATCACATAGGCCTGGGCAGGGATAAAAGAGACCCCAGTGAAAATCTACTATATCAATTGAATGCTAAATATCAGAATGGCTAACTGGTTAAACCACTCAATGGGCTTGCTCTTTGTCAGCTCAGATTGTACTTGCCTGAGAAATCTGAAAAGAAATGAGAAAGAAAGTCATAAGCCACTGGTGAAGGAAGTCATAAAGATAACCCTTAATTGTTCCGGGACATGAAGACTTGCTCCCATTATTGAAATGGAGCTGAATTTTCGTAGAAGGTTTTGACTCATGCTTGAGGATAGCAGAAAGGACTGTGAAAGCTTGGTAGTTTCACCCATCTTGGGTCATTATAACCTGGAAGATGGTAAGTATAGAGGCAATATAGTCAACTGAAAGAAACACTTGTTCATCTCCTAGTGCATGTATTTACTCATGGGCTGTCGCTGGGGCCTCCTGTGAGAACCCAGAAAAGGTTATTTGGTGGCAATAATCAGGGAATATTTCAAAAAGGAATGAAGCAACCAGACCTGGAGAAAAGAGATGTTGCTCTCAGAAATGCACTTTAGCAGAAGGGAGAATAAGAATAAGAGTAAATAAAAGGGTGAAGAGCTATCATTTCCTTTATTTTTAAGTGCCCCTCTTTCCAGTTTCTCACTTTATACGTATGAGTCAGGCCTTTCCTTCACTCTAATTCCACTATTACCTTGAATTTATATAATGCTTATCTACCACAAGCTAACAGGGCTGCCACTGAATCCATGTCACTTTAGGAAGCGTTGCTTAGCAAAATTCTTATTTCAACCGTCATATCATTAACTGTTCTAGTGGGAGCTTGGAGCTGGCTTTGCCATAGGTTAGTGGTTTTGTTTTGGGCTGCACACATGCATGTCACAGTTCCACAGCTGCCCAGGCAAGAGGAAACACGGGATGATTTTGCAACTCGGAGCCAGGCCTAACATCATTGCTTTCAGCTGGGACTCAACGAGATAGTTCTAATTGGCAAAGAATTATCCAAGTTTGCTGATTTACCTTCATGGACCCTGATGTCCCTGAAATACTTCTGTTTGGGAGCTCTGTTTGTCCACAGGCAAGACAATGTGCTTAGAGTTTAAATCTCAAACTTTCCCCTCTATTTATACTTTTCAGACTGTCATTTGTAGAATTCCATTTATCTGATTTACTTCCTTTGTTTTTTTTCTTCAGAGAAATAGAACTGAATGAGAAAAAAAAAAGATCCTCCGAGGTGCAAGGGGATATCCCGGGTTTGGAGGTGGAAATATTTTCATAGTTCCTTCAGAAATATTTCTTGCATTTTTGTTTTTCTTAAAAAAAAAATGCGTGCTTCCACGACATCCTTAAGTCAATGAAATCAAACTCAAATAATTGCCTTGGATTCACTTAAAGTTGGTCTCATCACATTTTTCATTTAGCTAAAATTGATTTTTAGAAAAGCGAAGTAGATTAAAAGTAATGCTTGGCCGCTGTGTAATTCTAAAAGTCGACGATAATATTCTTAACCAGGCCCTCTAAAAAGTCTCTCAAGGAGCCATTCCTATTCCTCTGCCTCCTCTTCCTCCTCTTCCTTTTTCTGCTTGTCTTTCCTTGTCTTCCTCTTCAGTGTTAGGCAAACACTATGCTCATTCGCTACTGTGAAAATAGAATATAAACTAGGAGCTGGGGCATAGGACATTTCTTTTAATCTCTGGCATTTAAGTTTATTGTTTATTTTAGAAATAATTTACATTGGTCAATGACATAGAAAGCAGATCATTTTATGAGGTGATTTTTTTGTTGTTGTTTGATATATTGTTTGATATTTAAAAAGCTATGAATAATGTTGGTTTTTCACTGAACTGAATGCCTCCTGTGAAACTGGATAACCCCAGGCACATAACATACATTGTCCCTAATCTTCAGTGTGACCGTAGAAGGAACCAAACGTGTGCATCTTCCTTTCACATGGAATCAGCTCAGGGAAGGATATATGTCAATGCTCAAGTGTAAAGATGAAGCACTCAATTACAAAAACAATTGCTAAATCACAATCCATGTCAATTCAAATTAGAAAAAAGTNAAGTCCATCTCATTATTAGTAGATTCTGCATAATGATGTTAAATCAAACTTTGTAGAATAGGTTTCAACGTGTGCCTCCCTGCTTAAAACTTTCACTAGTTCCTCTTTCCTAATGAAAGCAGGTATATTTTTCTGCCTGGCTGTTTTAAAATGTAAGTTTTATTGTTATTCAGGCATACTGAGAGCAGGAGATGGTTGCCATTGAAGAGACAGTTTTTCACA